AGTCCTTGGATGTATTTGCAAAAGCAATATTAAAGTTCTTAATCTGCTAATTCAAAAATCACGAGGGTAGTCTATGTTGAGTGCTTTTTTACATGTGTATGGGCTGCACTTCCATGATTCTTTATATATCCTGTAGGTTTCTTACATTCTACATGTTGTATGTGATATGCTGTAGACAATCTGCATTCTAATATCTGCCTTTTTGAGTGCCGATTTTTGTTCTGTCAGGTGTTTAACCTGCCTGGGATGAAACCCCAAACTCTCTTCCCTGGGCTGGGTTGCAGCTGATGTCTCTATGCTGTTTTTTCAGTTTCCCAGGTGTTCTTTTCCATTTGTTACCATGGAGTGAAAGACAGATGCCACACACACACACACACATTCACAGACATGCACACACATTCCAGGGACCAGGGCACTCTTTTTATGCTGATTCAGGCATTCTCCACTCTGTAGATCCCTACATTCCAGACTCCCATCTCATTTTGGGGTCCTCTAAAACCCCAATGTAACTTCCAATTTTTGCTTCAGTTTAACAGCCCCACATCTATACAGGTGGGACAGTACCCTTGGGAAGAAAGCCTAACAAACAGAAATCTCCAGCAATGTAGTTCACTCCCTCTGAGGATCCACAGGTCATTTTTAAGGAGGGAAATACCAGTGTCAGCCTTTCTTTCTGGGGAGCCCACCTTGGCCTCAGTGATGGACATATGGGAGGGGTTGGAGTGAGAAACTGGACATTCAGGAAGGGGCATAAGCCTGAAGTAAGAAAATATTGGAGGGTATGAGAGGTGGAACATTTGCAAGTAATGATATAGGGTTTTGCTTGTAGGCCTTGGTGACCAGTTGGAAGAGAGAGAAGCATGAGGTAACAGACTATCGTGTGCTCATGGGATAAATGTCTTTTCAGTACTGACAGTGGCCAAGAGTTCCCAATGTGTCAATGAGCAAGAGAGGAAATTCCTTCCCTCACGCAACCTCTGTCCAGGTAATTGGGGTCCCTTAGTGTCTGCCTGGGTAAAGCAGGCACTAAGAAAAAATGTCAGGAGCACTTTGTGGGAGGACACTGAGTTCAGCTTTAGGCATGTTGAGTTGGAAGGGCCAATAGCTCATTAAGGCAGAAAACAAAGAAGGACTTGGGGTTCCTGGGCCTGGGGTTCGGGAGTGAGATCTCCTGGAGGTTTAGATGTGAGAAATGGCAAACTAGGGAAATGGGGTGGGAGTGTTGAGCCACAGTGGGCACAGGGCTAAAAAAAGATGCCATGCACACTAAAGGGGTGGTGGGGATAAAAGGAAGCCCCCACCCCATAATGGTGAGAAGAAGTAGCTGCTGAGGGTATGGATCTGAGTCAGGGCTGTGAGGGGTCTCACAGCAAGAGTTCACCTCAAAGTGAGCAGACCAGAGAGAGGATGGCTGCAGGAATGAAAGGAGACATGAGGGTAGGGACAGTGAATCATGACTGCAGATGGCAGGAGAGCATGTCCACAGGGCTTGCCTGTGTTTTGGAGGGGTGTGTGTAGAGGGTAGCAAGGTTGTGAACACAAACCTAGAGGACTAATGTCTCTCACGGTGGAAGATGAAAGGAAACATAAAGGGCAGATGATGAGCTGTGGCTGCAGAGCCATGGAGGGTGGGGGTAAAGGAGATACATGGGCTCTCACTGGGAAAACAAAGTCACCACTTCCTTTTCTGGTCACCCACGAACACATGGTCTGAACTGACTGTCCTGTAACCCCTTGTTGAGCTCTGCAGGTTTTCTGGAGTGAGGACCATCCCTCCTGAGCCATGGAGGCTGCTGGGACCTCAAAGATCAACCAGACACTGGTAACTGAGTTCTTGCTGCAGGGCTTCTCCCAGCACCCTGAGCTGAGGCTGCCACTGCTAGCCTGCTTCCTGGTGCTCTACGTGGTGGCTCTGACTGGCAACACTCTGATCATTGCCCTAGTGGGTTTCAGCCCTGGGCTCCACAGCCCCATGTACTTCTTCCTGTCCAACCTGGCCACCATGGACATCATCTGCACCTCCACCATCCTGCCTAAGGTGCTGACGGGCCTGACTATACAGGAAAACACCATCTCCTTTGTGGGCTGCATGGCCCAGCTCTTCTTCCTCATCTGGTCCTCGTCCTCGGAGCTGCTGCTGCTCTCGGTCATGGCCTTCGACCGCTATGTGGCCATCTGCCGCCCTCTGCACTACAGCGCCATCATGAGCTGGCACGTGTGTGCGACACTAGCTGGGGGTGTGTGGGTCACCTGTGCCCTACACTCATCTATCCACACCGGTCTGATGGCACGGCTGACCTTCTGTGGACCCCGAGTCCTCGAGCACTTCTTCTGTGAGATCCCCCCACTGCTGCTGCTCTCCTGCAGCCCCACGCGAGTGAACAGCATCATGACTCTCCTGGCCGACGGGATCTATGGCCTCACCAACTTCATGCTCACTCTGGCCTCCTATGGCTGCATCGTGGCCAGCATCCTGCGCATCCGCTCTCGGGAGGGCAAGCGCCGTGCCTTCACCACCTGCTCCTCCCACCTCATCGTGGTCTCTGTGTACTACACAGCTGTGTTCTGTGCCTACATCAGCCCCGCCTCCAGCTACAGCCCCGAGAGGAGCAAAGTGGCAGGGGTTTTGTATACAGCACTGAGCCCCACCCTGAACCCACTTATCTACACATTACGGAACTCGGATGTGAAACATGCCCTGGGCAAGCTCTTCCCCTTCTACAGTAGATGAACTGACAGGGCTAGTGTGTCTCATCCCACCCATCTCATTCCTGTCCTTTGCTCATGTAAGTCAGGCCTGAGATTGCCTTATGTGGGCAGAGGCCATGGGTGCAGGTTTGCAGGTGGTTGATTTGCTTGGACCTTTAGACTGTGTCTCAATTCTAACTTGGCCATAGGACATGTGGGTATGCAGAGCAGAGCTTCTTTGGGAACCACTGGCGGAGGTGGGGGTGGGAGTGGGTAGCTCCTCATCGGACCCTGATCCCTAATGGCCTCTAACCTTTATCCACCCAACTCTTCTTTAGTTGCTCTTTCCTCTCACACCCCCAAGCTCTAATGGAAAGAGGCATAGCCCATGGGCACCTTCACCACACTGCACACCTGTACTCAGTCTCTGCTCAGACTGGCCCTTCTTCCTCAAGTCATTTCCAGCCAACTGAATACACTCCCATGGGTCTTCCATCCTGTTACTCCAGGAATACAAACCATCCCTGTGCCTCTGCCCATTGGGGTCCCACCCTGCTGTGAACTCTAAGTGCACCAAGTAATGCCTTATTTCTTCCAGGAGATCTGAGTCCTTGTGACCTGGCCCTTGTCCAGCATTGGTTTTTAACAGATGATTAATGGGTCTTTGTTATGACACTGTCACAGAGGCTATACACAGAGTGTGAGAGAGTGCACTGAACAGTCATCACTGTCCTGGTGGCTATAACACAGAGGGGGCGGGTCTGAGTGTGTGATCCTGGTGGCCTCCAGTAATCAGAGATCCTGTAATACAATTTTTTTTCCTTAAAATGCTGTCATGACTCAATATAGAGACCTGCCTAGAGGCTGGTTCCTCTTCTTGAGCACCTGACTATGTCTACACCCCACCTCTCCCCTTATCAGGTTCTCACTCCCTTGGGCCACTCTGCATCTGCCCTAATCACCCAGGGCCATGTGCCCAACACCTTGGAACAATCTCTATGCTCTGGAGCCTGCAGAACTATTCAAAATGCCCCATTTCTAGGGTGCCCTCAACCCTAGACAAGCCTCAGCTTTACATAAGCCACTTTATATAGTACTAGCTTGGTGTTTAGGAGCTCTGGTAGCATAGTGCCTAAGGCACTTGACTGCTAACCAGAAGGCTGGTGGTTCAATCCCACCAGCCACTCCTCGGAAGGAAGGTTGCGCAATCCTACTTCCGTAGTGATACTGCCTCGGAAACCCAAGGAGGGGTCATTATGAGTTGGGGCTGACTAGACAGCAAATAACAACAACAACAAGCTTGGTGTTACCCTGTGCAGCCTTGCCTGGAGCACCTCTTGCTTGAAGTGGTAAGTGACAGTGAGCCTACCTTTCACTAATCCTAGAACCTAGTGTTGTGTCCTGCCAACAGAGAACCTGGAACCTTACCTGACACCATAGGGTTATGAAGCTGGTTGGCCGGGAGTACAGGGTCTGCCTGGGTCACACTACTCTAAGTGCCTGCACTAGAACACTTGGGTCTAGTTGGAAGGGTTGTGCTGTGTGTTCTCACCTTGTGAGTTCCTCTCTGATCAGTCCTCATTGCCTGTTGGTGTTCCACATGCAGGACACCCACTTCACTCCTGGATCAGCACCACCTCCAGGGCCAGAGACCACTCACATTGGCCAGGTTCAGGGACCTGACTTCCCTCCCCCATCACCTTTTAGGAGCATGCCTGAACCATTACACCCACATGTCCTCTGAGTGTTCTGTAACGTGACCCAAATACCCACTTGTCCATCTGCCCCATTTGTGCCCAACATACAACCTTGACTATGGCTGCACCACTTTCCTCATGAATCTTTTAAAGAATTCTTTCAACCTCATTTCATAAAACTGGTCAGTCCAGCTCAGAGCTGTGCTATTAGACCCATGATTGTCTGAGTCACTTGGAAGGGCTTTAGGTTGGCTAGTTATGGCAGTTAAAACCAGATAATACAAGTCCATGAAAGCCAATGTATGACCTTGAGTATCCCACATGAATATAGAGACCATCTCAAGAAGGGCTTTGGCACACTGAACACTAATGAGTGAAAGATGAGATAAATTGTGGATGACATCAAGGACATCATAAAAGAAAAGGTCATTAAAAAGACAGGAAGGAAAGAAAAGGCCAAAACAAATTTCAGAAGAGAGTCTGTAACTTGATCTTGAATGGAGAGTAGCTAAAGTAAAAGTAAGAATGGAGAAATAAAAGAGTTAAACAGAAGATTTTAAAAGGCAGCTGGGAAAGCAATGTGAAATTTTATAATGAAATGTGCAAAGGCAGGGAGTTAGAAAACCAAAAGGAAAGACCATGCTTGTCATTTCTCAAGCTGAAAGAATTGAAGAAAAAATTGGAGCCTCGAGTTGTAATGTTAAAGAATTCTATGGGTAAAGCACTGAACAATGCAGAAAGCATCAGAATAAGATGAAGGAAAACACAGATTCACTGTACCAAAAAGAATAGGTCAATATTCATACATTTCAGAAAGTAACATATGATCATGCAACAGTGGTATTGAAGGAAGAAGTCCAAGCTGCCCTGAAAGAATTGGCCAAACACAAGGCTGTAGGAATTAACTGATTATCAATGGAGAAGACTCAACTAATGAATGCAAGGCTGGAAGTGCACAGATCTATGACCAAATAATTTGGAAGACAGCTATCTGGTCAATAAATTGGAAGAGAGCTATATTTGTTCCCATTCCATGGGAAGGTCACCCAATAGAACGAGAAGATTATCAAAAAATATCATTAATACCACAAATAAACTTGGCATATTGTTGTTGTTATGTGCCGTCGAGTCAGACCCAACTCCTGGTGACCCTTCCTTATGTTTCTGATGCAGTGTCACTACGGAAGTAGATTGCCCAACTTTCCTTCCAAGGAGTGACTGGTAGGTTTGAACTGCCAGCCTTCTGGTTAGCAGTCAAGTGCCTTAAGCACTATGCTACCAGAGCTCTGTTGCAGTAGTTCATCGACAAGGACCTGCCAGAAATTCAAGTTGAAAATTCAGAAGAGGAGGTGGAAGAAGGGATGTCATTACTGATGTCAGGTGGATATTGGATGAATATAGAAAATATAGGTTAAAAGCAGAAAATACCCTGTGTTTTATTGACTATGCAACGACATTTGGTTGTATGAATAATAACAAATTAGGGATAACATTGCAATGAGAAGGAATTTCAAACACTTAATTATACTCATAGAGAACTTGGACATAGATCAAAAGGCTGTCTTTGAACAAAACAAGTGGATACTGAATGGTTTAAAATCAGGAAAGTTATACATCAGAATAATATCCTTTTGCCATGCTTATTCAAATCTATATGTTGAAAAAACAATTTGAGGAGCTGGACTATATAAAGTAGAACACGGCATCAGAATTAGAGATAGAATCATTAAAAACCTCTGATATGCAGATGACACAATGCTTCTGGAGAAAAAAGAGATCTTGAAGCGTTTAGTGATGAAGAAAAAAGGCTACACCCTTCAGTGTGGACTACACTTCAACGTAAAGAAAACAAGAACCCTCACAACTAGACCAGTAAGTAACATCATGATAAATGGAGAAAAGATTGAGTTGTCAAGGATTTCATTTTACTTGAATCCACAATCAACACCCATGGGAACAGCAGTAGATAAAGCAGATGGTGTACTGCATGGAGCAAATGTGCTGCAAAAGAGCTCTTTAAAATGCTTAAAAGCAAAGATGTCAATTTGAGTACGAAGGTGTGCCTGCCACAAGCCGTGGCATTTTCAATCACTTCAAATGCATCCAAAAGCTGGACAATGAATAAAGAAGAATTGATGCCTTTGCATTATGGTTGTGGTGAAGAATATGAAACATATCCTACAATGATAGGGGAAGCAATACTCTGCCTTGAAAGAAGTACATACAGAATTCTCCTTAAAAGCAAGGATGGGAAACTTTGTCTCCCCTACTTTGGACATGTTATCAGAAGGGTCCAGTCCTTTTGTAAAAAAAAATCAAGCATGGTAAACTAAAGGGTCAGCAAAAAAGAGGAAGAGTTCAGTGAGATAGCTTGATGGAGTGGCTACAACAATGGACTCAGACAATGTGCTCACGGTGCAGGCTCAGGCGTTGCTTTGCTCTGGGTTCAGAGGGTCACATTCAGAGGGTCACTAAGAGTCAGTACCCTCTCGACAGAACCTAAAGACAACTGCATGATTCAATTTATGAAATGTTTTAAAAAGCAAACTAATGTATAGTGACAGACAGCAGATTACTGGCTATCTCAGCAGGTGGGTGCACTGAGGTATGACAGAAAGAAACAACAAACAGGCATGAAAAACTCTGGGCTGATGAATGTGTTCATTCTTTTGACTGTGGTTATGTTCTCACAGGAATAAATTTATGTCCAAACATGTCAGACTGTGTATCTTAAGTTTGCATAATTTATTTCTAATATATCTCAACATTGCCATTTTAAAAAGAGATCTTAACTGAAACTGAAATCATAAAACTTGTAAAAGCAAAGAGAAAAAATTCTTGAAAATCCCCAGGAAGGCATAAGAGGGTAAAAAGGCATTAATTGTAAAGGAAACAAAGGATAGATTAATTTGATTTCTTCAAGCAGAAAATCTTTGCATTTCAAAGGAAGCCTTTAAAAAATGACTACATTTAGGAACAAAAAGACATCCCAGATGAACAAAGCACTAATATAGAAGAAGAACTTCAATTATTTGCACATTTCATTGGCATCCTTTACTTTGTCTTTTCAAGCTGCCATTTAAAATCTTCTGTCCAGCTCTTTTACTTTATCATTTTTTTCCATTTGCTTTGGCTACTCTCCATTAAAAAGCAATTGTCAGAATGTCTTCTGACATCCATTTTGCTCTTTTCTTTGTTTCCTGTCTTCTAATGACTCTGCTTTCTTCATGTCTGATGTTCTTTATGTCATCCTACAACTAATCTGGTCTTCACTGATGGGTGCTCAATGTGTCAAGTCTATTCTTCAGATGGCCCCTAAATTCTGTTGGGATATACTCACAATTGT